TTTTAATATTTTTGACTTTTTTTTAATTTTATGATCATAAACCATATGAGAATATTCTTGCGCGCGGATAAGTACCATGGCATGCACTATACATAATAGTGAGACTGCGATAGCAATACCGCACTCACTGACCCTCTTTGTCGTTGCGGATTTATCAGCTCAGCTCGCACTCCAGTTAGATATATAAAGCTCAATGAGTAGCGCTCATTGACATATTTTGAAGATGTATTTGTGATGTTTACTAGCGCCTCCTGCAACTTTGCTTCAACTCGCCCCATTTCGGTTTGCCCCCCCGCTGGCCCCCCTAGTCGGTGATCGACCCAGGGATCGTATAATTTTTCCCTCGGCCGGAAAGTGGGGACAACGCGACCATGGTGGGGACTGGTACTTGATGGGGGTATGCTAGGAATGGTCAGCGAAGGCGCATGAGGAGAATAGTAGTGGGGATCGAAATACGGGCGAAAAAGAGGGGAAGCGAGTCGTGCGGGAAAAATTATACGAACCCTGGATCGACCCCGACCATACCGACCACTCCGACAATCACACTCACAACACAACACAACAGTACTTCATAATACTTGAATTCTTGGAGAAAAGTGAAACGTTGCTTGAAGTAAAGATTATTTTGTAAAAATGACAAGTATTACGATATCGGCGGTTCGAACGCGAACGAGCATTCTCGATAAATCGTTGAGTAAAGGGAAAGGGGAGGTTAGCTTGAGCTGTTTCGCACTTTTGTTTTCTGAACTCGTACAGTACTGTCAAAATCGAGTTTACACCGTGCCAGAATTACAAAATAAGTATGTAACTGTAAGAACGTGTTAATTGTTCACTGGTTCATATTAACATTTCTCTATGTACTTAGATTAGCAGAAATTGGTGCAGAAGTTGGCCACAGGATAACTGATCTTCTAGTCGTGCGGGAAAAAGGAGGAAAACGCGAAATAAAATTACTAAATATTCTGTTATTCATCAAAAGTACAGTATGGAAATCATTATTTGGTCGTGAAGCTGACAAATTGGAACACGCAAATGATGATGAGCGCACTTATTATATCATAGAAAAAGAGGCATTGGTAAACAAATTTATATCTGTACCAAAAGATAAAGGGAGTTTAAATTGTGCTTCTTTCATCGCTGGAATTGTTGAAGCTATTCTCTGTGACTGTGGCTTTGTATGTATTCATCTCTGTTCATGATATAGCTTTCACCAAGTTTTTACTAATTTGATCACTGATTAAGTATAGACAACAGCAAAAGAAACACTACTTTCAGGCTGTATAATGAAATCGATCACCTGTAGATACTTTTACTGACTTACTCTGTACATCACGTAATCAATTATATTACATATACGTAGTATAACTAATATTTACTTAAAGAATGACATGAAGTTAAAATTTTGCTGTTGAGGACGCTTAATCGTTGATTAAATTAATCAGAGTTTGATAACTCCATAATAATGCAAATAGAATGAAAGTATCTTTTCGTAGCCAGCGAAAGTAACTGCACACTGGCACAAGGGAACAACATACATGGTGAAATTCGATGATGCAGTTGTTGCAAGAGACAAGCAACTTGAAGATCGGTAATCAGACACATAGAAGAGATAATAAAAATAGAATAAGATTCTCCATAAAAATAA